TCCCTTGCAATGTCCCCTCAGGAAAGCCTGGCATGGTTTGGGATCCAGGGGTACATCCCATTTCACAAGTGTCGGCTGCTCCAAATGGTTTTTGCTGGATCAGAGAGAGAAAAGTCCTGGCAGGCAGCAGTCCCGCCGCAGGGAGGGGAAACCGCTCCCCAAGCCACACGCCAACCACAGAGCTGGTCCAATCCAGCTGAACCCAGCATGGTGGCCCCTCCCACGCAGCTGGCTGCACTCAGAGTCCTGTCCTCCAGAGCTCAGCCTGCTCCAGAGCACAGGTGTAGAAGACAGGGGACCTGCTGGCTGATGCAGGAGGCAGGGCGGAACTCCCCTGGTTTGGTTTGGAGACATCAGGCTCTGGGATTCCAGTTTGGCAGCCTCTTAGGTAAACAATAATTGTCTTGAAGGACTCTCTGAAGGTCAACGAGAAAATGCTGGATGTGCTCAGCTCAAAGCAGGTGTCTCAAAATATAAATGTCCCTCCGTCCCGTCTCCATATCCCCGCTGCCCTCATCATTTCAACTCAGCAAGTGTTGACTGAGTGCTTCATTGTGCTGCCAGTGTGAAAAATTTAAAAGCTGAAGTGAAGAGCACGTTGTGTGGGTGGGTGTGTATAATAAAATAAAACTACGAGTTATGAATAAGAAAAGTAAAAGTGCTAACACTCAGATAAGTAGAGATCAAAGGGGAGGGCGGAATACACACATAAAAAGTGAGAGGGGAACTATTTGAATGAAAAATAGCGATCGATCTTCCAGGGTTCAAGGAAGGGCGGAGCCGTGGAATGGCACAGGTAGAGGGAGCAACGGGCAAGATGGAGACAGGTGGGTGAGGCTGGCTTTGCAGAGTTTTACAGGGCCTGTCGAAGAGTTTTTTGTTTGTTGTTTTGGGTTTTTTTTCCCCCTCTAGAAAGGGTTGCATTTTTTTTTTTTTTTTTACAAAGTTATGATTGACTTACAGTATAATTCACCTTTTGTCTCGGGGAAAGCATGTTGCAGAGCTGAAAAGTAGAAATTAAGCCTGTAAATCTGTTTTAGTTTCATTTTGTTTTGTTCTTTTATTGCCTCGGTCATTATCATTTATTATCCTATTGTCTCTCCACTTAATGTTTTTATTTTCGTTTTGTTTTATACAACTCTGAAGCCATGATGCATTCTGAGGCTTTGCGCGCCTTTTCACTTTCTCATGGGTGTCTGTGACAGGTTGGGTTTCCCAAGAAATGGAGTCTGAGATGGAGGCTGGTGTTAGGAAGTTTTCCTGAGTCTGCCGCTGGGATCAACCCCGGGGAAGGAAGCATGGATGAGGAGAGAGAGAAGTCAGTGCTGCACTGCAGTCTTAATGCAAATTTTAGCTGACTCTGTCCTTCAAAGCTATCCCAACTGGGACGAGGGGACTAGGACATTCTACAAGTTAATCCATCATGGGATGTAGCCCACTCTCTAAAGGGGGCAAAAAAGCAATCCCCAAGGAGGCTGAGAACTGAATGTTATCTGCCGATGGCTCTCCCAGCAGCTGGAGTAAAAAGTTCTTCACTCCCGAGGGAGGACCTGGTGGCACATCACAGCATTCACTACTTAGTCTTTTATTTAATAGAAGTCGATGTTAAAGCAGTCAAAGTTAATTTATGGTTAATATTTTTGAATTCCTTCATGATCTTTCCTTACAAAAAGGTCATGAAGGTCTTTATATTACTATTTAGAAGCTTCATTTTATTCCTTTGTCTTGTTCGTATTTGATGCTTTTTATTTAAAAATTTACGAAATGCTTTATGTGACCATCATTTCTAACGAATGTCTTCACTGGATATAAAATTCTAGTTTGGCATTTAGCTCTTTAGAGGAGGTATCATTTCTTTTTCACTTCAATTGCTGCTCTTTTGAACATAATGTCTTTTTTAAAAATCTGGATGCTTTTAAGATTTTCTCTTTGTTTTTGGTTTTTATCAATTTCCGACATGCCTGGGCGTGAAGTTATTCATTCTACTTGGGACTTCCTGACTATTTATTTCTCTTCATGTGGTTCTTTAACATGGGAACATCCTCAACCATTATATTTTCTAATATTGCTTTTTCTATTCTCCTTTTAGGACTCGAAAATACATGTTAGCGTCTATTGTTTTATGCTCTATTTCTCTCGCTCTCTCCATTATATTTTTCTTTTCCTTTTCCTTTCCTTTTTTTTCAGTCTCTCTATGCTTTATTTTTCTTGCCTATCTCCCAGTTTACTAATTTCCTCTCAGCTATGTCTAATCCGTTGAAGTTCTTAATTTTAATTATTTTATTTTTCACTTTTAGAGTTTCTAGTTAGTAATTTTCAAATATATGATCTCCTCTATAAAAAATTATACTTTCCAGTTCCCTGCTAAATTTTCAAGCCTTCCTTTTATCTAGGTGATCATAGTAAGCCTAGTTGTTTTAAAAATCTGTGTTTTGTCACATCCATATCTGGAATTCCTATTATAGGTCTGCTTCTATTGTCTGTTGCTTCTGGTCTTTTTTGTTAACGATCTCATGTCTTTTCATGTGTCTGGATATTTCTACTGTGTGCCAAAAATACAATAAAAAGTTTGAAAATATTTGGAAGCCTGCTGGTGGAATGATTCAGGTAGAGGATGATATTATCTTCCTCTAGAGGGGATTAATGTTTGATTTTGTCAGTTTCGTGGGGGAGCAGCAGCAACCTGGGATTCCCTCAAACCAATTTCTAAGGATTGAAAGCTAGGTTCTAGCTCTTCCAAGGGCTTCTCTTTTCCTGGTTCACGCTAATCCTAAGGTGTAGTTCTCAGAGACCCAACTGAAAACAGAGGAGATTTACCAGCATTCTGTTTTGTAAAGTACTGAGGTCCAACTTTAAACTTCCTTTCCTTATGTGTTAATCAAATGCTACTCAGATTCTCAGCCTTGCAGAAACCCATTCTGAAATTGGCACCTATCTCCAAGGGAGAAACAGATCCAAACACTGGGTTCAGCTTTCTGGGTTTATGTCTTCTCCAAGGTGTCTCATGGATAAGACATCTCTTCAGAATTCATGTCTTATCCATGAATTCTGAAGCAGTTGGATACAAATATATTTTTAATTTTTGTCCAGCTTTTACACTTTTTTTTACCTAGTCTGACAGTACCAAGAGTGAAAGTCAGAATTTATTTTCCTTGCATTTTTCCTTGCAAAAATGAGCCTAGACTTGAAAACACTTTTCAAAATGGAAGAAGCCAGACACAAAAGACCACACGCTGTATGATTCCATTTATATGAAGTATCCAGAATAAGAAATTCCACAGAGACAGTGCAAATTAGTGCTTGGGGAAGAGGGAGTCTTAGGGGGATGATCACTAATAATAGGTATGGAACTTCCCTTTGGAGTGTTGAAAAAGTTCTGAAACTGGATAGTCAATTCAATAAAAAGGCATAACAATCCTATATTTGTATGCGCCTAATGAATAGCTTCAAGGTATATATGGCAAAAATTATCTGAGTCAAAATGAAAAGAGACAAATAATCACAGTTGGAAATTTTAATATACCTTTCTCAATGACTCATAGAATAAGCAAACAGAAAAATCAGCAAGAATATAGAAGATTTGAACAATCTGATTAATCAGCTGCAGCCTACAACTACATAATACATGTATTCTTTTCAAATATACATGAAACATTTACAATATTCTGGGTCATAAAACAATTTTCAATAAATTTCAAAAATCTGAATGCATACATGTATGTTCTCTGAGAACAGTGGAAACTCAAACTAGAAATGAAAACATAAACATATTAGAAATCCCCAAATGTTTGGAAATTTTTTAGTAATTAACTTCTAAACAATTAATGATTCAAAAAAGAATTCACAATAGAAAAGTAGAAAATAATTTAAATTGAAAATATATTATGTCAAATGTATGAGATATAGCCAAAGTAGTGCTTAGAGGGAATTTTGTAGCTTTAAAGGCATTTTTCAGAAATGAACAAAGGTTGAGATTCAATAATGTAAGGTTCCATTTCAAGAAGCTAGAATAAAACAGCAAATTAACCCCCCTTAAAACCAAATAAGATAAAAGATAAGAGCAAAAATTAATAAAAAGACAAAAATAGAAAATCAACAAAATCAAAAGCTGGTTCTTTAAAATGATTGGAAAAAACTTATCAGGAAAAAAGAGATAAAAACTTATCAGGAAAAAAGAGATAAAAACACAAATGACCAATATTATCAGCGAAAAGGGACATTACATCAGATCCTCCTGCATTAAAAAGACTATGAGAATATATTAGGGAGAACCTTATGAAAATATGTTTGACAACTTAGATAAAGTGGGAAAATTCCTTAAAAATCTCAACTTTCCAAAAGTGAGACAAGCAAAAATGGAAAATCTGAATAATCTCTATCTGCCAAGAATTTGAATGCATAACTTGAAATCTTTCTACAGAGAAACCACAATGGCTTCACTAATTAATTTCACCAAACATTTAAAGAAGAAATAACACCAAATTTTTTACACAAACTGTTCCAGAGAGTAGTGGAAAAGGAAATACTTCTCAACACATTTTTTTTGAGGCCAAACCTGACCAGGACATTGTAAGAAGGGAAAATTATAGGACAATATCTCTCGTGAACACAGATACAAAAAATCCTAAGAGAATTCAATTATTTATGAAAATGATCATGATCAAGAGGTCATTTTTATTGCCAAAGAACATACAGGTTGATTTAACATAAGAAAATCAATCAATGTAGTTTACCAAGTTAACAGAATAATGGAGGAAAGCTATACGATCACCTCAATGGATAAGAAAAAAGCATTTGATAAAATTTAAATTCATATATAAAGACACTCAAAAACTCATAACAGATATTACACTTAAAAGTGTAATATGTAGGCTATCTTCAGAAGATAATCAAGTCTTCAAAAGTTGAGAAGATTAACTTGCAATGGTAGGAGCTCATTTAATATGAACTATATCGTGTGTCTGTAACCACACTTCTGAGAGTATCCCCTCGTGGCACTCAGACTCTGATATAAATCATGTTTTCCTTTTGAAAGAAGAGTGGTGATGAAAGCAGAGGCCCACTTTGTGGTACACTCCTCACAAAATGTAGTCCGTGGTTGCAGAACGGAAAGAAGATGATCTTTCGCAGCTTTCTCTGGGGATTTGTCTCCCCAGGAAGAGGGAGATGTGGTTGAAAATTTTCCAAAATATTTCTGAGAGATGTTTCTTGAACTTCTCACCCATGAAAGCATAGATGATAGGGTTCACACAGCAGTGAGTGAAGGAAATGGTTTCTGTGACATGGGTGGCATATATCAGCCTCTGGCTCGTGACGCATCCATCCAAGATGTGCATGTTGTGCAGGGAAGTGAGGAAGAGGATCACATTGAATGGGACCCAGAAGAGTAAAGATGTAATGACCACAGTGAGCACCAGCTTGATGGCCTTGGTCTTGTTGTGGTTTTGGCAATTCTTCAGCTGGAGCAGGATACTAATGTAGCAGAACAGAAGGATGGTGAAGGGGATCAACAGGCCTAAGATGTTCATTTCAAAGTGAATGAAGAACTTCCACTTCAAAGTCTGTTGATTGTAAGATGAATAACACTGTAGGATGCCATCTTCAGAGGCCACTTGGTAAAATACTAGCAGTGGGCTGGCGGCCAAGATAGCAGTCAGCCATACTACCAAGCTCAGGGCTGTGCCCATCCTGGCTGTCCTCACTTTCATGGCATACACAGCGTGGACAATTGCCAGGTACCTGTCCAAGCTTATGAGGGTGATAAAGAACATGCTGCTGAAGAAGCCAATGTAATAAAAGCCAGAGACCACCTTGCACATTATAGTTCCAAACACCCACTCATAGAGCTGATAGTGTGTCTGAAATGGAAAGGAGAAGACAAAAAGCAGGTCAGACAGGGCCAGGTTCAAGAGGTACACATCTGTGATGCTTCTTAACTTCTTGCAGATGACAAGGACCAGGATGACCAGGCTGTTTCCCAGAAGACCGAGTACAAACAGGATGCAGTAAAAGATGGCAAGAAGTGACTTGCTATCTCTGTGGATGAGTTCCCCATCACAGGGGCTTGTGATGGTATTAGGATAGTAGTCGTCAGTAACTGTCACGTTAGGCTCGAGTGTATAATCCATCAAGGCAGGAGGACTTGGTCACAGAGGCACCTAAGAGACATTTATTCCTTTAAAATATTTTTATATAAAAATGTGGACGGAACATGGTTCCCTTCCCCTCCCCATCAAATTCACATGTTGAAGTCCTAAAGCCATGTATGGACTAAACGTTTGTGCCCCCCGCCCCAAAATTCAAAATGGATTGTAGCTCAAGTCACACACATACCTGATTTAGATGATGTCTAGATGAGACTTTTTGATTCGAATTGATGCTGAAATAAGACTAGTCTATTAACACTTTTCGAAAATTGAAAACTGCCCTGGCTGACTAATACTTGGCTGACTAATAGGCGGGGATAGGGGGGACAAGAAAAGCGAAATTTAAAAAGGACTTTTAAATACCTATAGTTTCACCATCTATAATTAGCAACGAATAATATATTGTCATATTTGCTTCTGGTTCTTTTTTCTTCCTTTTCTTTCTCCCTCCCTTCCTTTCTTCCTTTCTAATGTAACAAAGATTAAACTAAAGTTCACTTTAACTATACAACTTAACCCCACACCACAGGAGCAATTACTAAAACCAATTTTGTATTTTTTTAAACAATTTCTCCCTGTACTTTTACATACTATATGTCTCCATCAACAATATATAATACTGTTTTGTGTTCACTTTTAACTTACATAAATGGCATAACATCACATCTCTCATTTTCTGTCTTGTTTTTCTTCTCCGGGTATGTTGTTTTAGAAATACAGCTAAGCAATACTAAAAAGTGTAGCTCATTCTTTTAGCTGCTTTCATAAGCACCATAAATAATTAATTTTAAAATGCAATAGAAAAAATGATCCCAATCCTACTAGCAACAAACATTACGAGGCTTATTAAGAACAAACCTGATAAAAACTGCAATTCAGTTATGTAAAATATTATAAAACTTCGTAGATAGATGTAAAAGAAGACATGATTAAAAGGAAATATATACTATATTTATGGAAAGGAAGATTCAACATTTCAAGCATGATAATTCTTCTCAAACTGATATATACATTCAAGGCACTTTCAATCTAGATTTATTATTTTTCAAGGCATTCGATCGTTGAACACTCAGAATCCCTATCTACTATGCCACCTTTCTATAATTTGAAATGCCAAACAAGTTAGCCATTTTTTAAAATATTAATTTCATTTAAGTATTTACTCCCAAGTGGATGTTTTTAAAAAAACTAGTTTCTGAAGTATAAAAATGGGTCTTTTTACAATTTTTTGTGGCATCTCTCAAAACTCCACCCCCTGCCACATTTTCCTTTTTGTCTTTTAAAGTTTTTTTTTTTAAACAAGTTTTAGTTCATCTTTTTATCCT